TGATAGGTGAGGGTGATTGTGGAGCAATTGGTGGAATGAAGATTGGCAAGAGAAGCCGAAGTACTCGAAGAAAACCTTCCCCAGCGCCACTTAGTCCACCATAAATCCCACTTGACCAGACCCCGGGATCGAACCCGGGCCGCTACTGTGGCAAGCCAGCGACTAACCGCTTGAGCTATGGCGCGACCTTTTGCTTTTGAAATATGTAAGCATCGCAGAAAATGTGCCAATCCATTAGCAGCTTTCTCTATGCTTTACTCATAGAATGAATCATAAGAATAACATCTAGCCTTGTGGGAACTGATGCCGTATACTCTGGTATATTAGTACCAACCTTTCGGAACAATCTACTGTATCCATCGTCAGACTAGAAGAATGGTCTAAATGTTGGTACCCGTGCACCTCACTATATGACGTCATACCCGAGTAGACAGTAACCGTGACACTAACTTTCGTGAGAACTTCGTAGCTAACACAGAATGAAGATGCTTCGCAACTGTTTTTGAGATCTATCCAGTAATTTATCATAAATAGTTAGGTCATCACTCGACTCACCTCCATCTAGTACCGAGACCAAGAATGCCAAATTTATACCTCCAATCCCCTGTATGTTTTCATGTGCCTAATTAATTAAGCACAGGGGTAATTCTACTTTTCAGATCACTGGATATTCCAACGAGATGGTTTATGTGAACATAAGTAAGAGTACATAAAAAACTAAACTCTGTGGCTTTAGTCCGCAAGCGAACTATACTGATCGAGTGACCGCCGCTTGACGGCAATGTTAGTGCTAACTTTAACGGATAGAGGGTTTCGCGTGGTCAACGCAACGAATCCCCAAGGCAGTTAATTTTGAATTTCTAGACCGGAGCCGCTATTTTCCCATTCAAGTAACTCCTCTGTTATCCTCACGACGCTGAGTGAACCCCGTTCCAGACCCACTACTTCTCAGAAATCTGGTAGCGCCGGGAATCGAACCCGGAACCTCTGGATCTGTAACCAGGAACTCTGATCACTAGACCACAGAGGCGATCAGTAAATGCCTATATTTAACTTCCGACTGAGGCTTATAATTTGTAAAAAAAATTATGTTCAATTGTTTATAATTTGCAGATCACAGTGGCTGCAGAGTCTAAGGCATGAACTGCCTTCGCCAACTTGAACACTGGGCTCGTGAGTTCGAATCTCGCTCGAGGCACTGATGCCTGTTTACTTTTAATCTGTGTTTGCGTTGTTCTGTGTCTAGGTAGGAGCTTAGATGTGCTTACTATGAACAGGAATCCGTCACAGAATATCATTCTCCACTTCGCGTCACAGTTTTGAGGCTAATTCTTCCGTTTGTATTCAGAGAATAAAGTGAAATGAGTGCGCAAGCTTCTTCGGGTCTGATTTTCATCAGCAACTGATTGTCTTTCCATTAGATGCATTTAAATTTTATCTTATCTTATTTTAACCAGTTCCGAGAACCATATTGAAACACATGAAAATAAATCATGTTATGTAACTTTAAGGTCCATATTCCAGGAGGATCCTATTTTTTGTAAAGTTATTGAAAAAGTAACGGTGTACTAAGAAACAGCTTTTTTATTCACAGTAACCATGAAATGGGGAAGCCTAATACATCTTTAAGAAGGCCATTAAATGTCCAGAAATTAATTTCTTGACCCAGGGAAAAGCTCCTCAGAATTACGTAAAATTCATCCTACGGTTGCAGAGTTACACAGAAATCATAGCCAGCGGTAAGCGTTGTTGTGACGTCACTACAGAAACACAAGTGGAAATAGAGAACAGCGAACTACATCCTGCATGAGGCTTCTGAGAATCTGTGAAACGAAGAATCTGAAACTTTTTCTCTTGCTAAAGAAATTTGATCACGTTTCAATTGCAAACATACCGAGAAATTAAGAGCAATTCCTTCTTGCTCGCCGCGCATCTGTAAAACTAAAGTTCTCAGGAATCATTTAACATCAGCTAACAGATGGATCATAAGACATTTAACGGCCTATGTCAACCATAGCAGCTTCTTAGAGCCAAATGGTACAAAATGGTTAAGGATCTGAGAAGGACGTGGTCATGAACTATCTCAAGGTATTACCCACACACTCGCCTAGTGAGGCTGAGGAAAACTACGAAAGTTGTAAGGGTAGTTAATGTTCCTGCCGAAATTCGACTAGACCACGTTCCGAATAATATTTAAAGGCGTAAATAAAATTGACAGGGACACCGACTGTCTTGACTGAGGCTTCCCTTGTTCTTCCTCAGACACCCCAGGATAATATATTGATTAAGTCAAGTCCGCTTCTTTTCGTGTCCTTTTAAATCCATTCATTGATCATACCAACATCTTAGGATATATTGTCACGTGACTATAAATGGGGTTTGGGTTGGTAATTAGACTTACTGGACACTGACAGAAAGTAACTACAAATAACTACGACAATCTCACTGAGTTACACACTTAAAGATCATGTAATTACAGCATACATAAAGTCTTCTCAGTCTTCATTTGACGTTGCTCGGTAGCGGCTTCCAAAGGCGGACGTTCCCCTGCTCTAGGTTACCGAACTGACTCCGGCCTTAGTACAGCAACTCTCGACTGATTTTAATTAACTCTTCTGCTTATAACATATAAGCACTGACCGCGCAGAAAACACCATTTCTCTGTTGTGTCCAAGTGTTGCCGTGCAAAATATGCTTGTTTGCAGAGCCGTTACTCAGTGACGGCTGTTGTATAGCTACTTCTTTCACGTTCGTTACCTAGTAAAGCATCTGCGAGCCACAATATAGTACGAGATGCTGTGTCATTGAATACATCACAAAAAATAAACAAACAAACAATATACTTGACATGTTTAGTATTTTACGGATTTTTACTGATAAAATAATATTGAGACTAATTTTGTTGTGGAATTTAACAGCTATTCTTTGGATTTAAAAATCTCACTTTTCCGAATAGTAGGACTACACATAGGACCATTTTAAAATTTCATGACTCCTCAGCTTAATTCACTATTTTAGACCGACTTGGAGTCGACTAAACAAGCTGCATTTGTGTCAAAGCATCCTTATAGTTAAAAGCACCTGACGTAATCTGTCAAAATATGTCACTTTAAAAAAAAAATGCAAAATTATTAAATTTAGACGAAAATAAACGAAAGTGAAAGTCAGCAGTTGGCAAGAACATTTATATATCTGTAACTGAAAGCCGAACTGCGTTGACACACTGAACCCCAGCCACTGGACGCCTCCTTCTTACTGTATCATCTATAGTCAGACATTGTTATCAGCTGGAATATGATTGGTTAGACTTGAAAGGATTCTGACGATTGTGTATACTGTACTTCTTCTGGCTTATTTTGGACTTCATCCATCGTCTGGTATGTAAAAGACAAAAGACCACGATGTTTCGGAGACTGGATCTGTCTCCGTCTTCAGGTGGGTAGGGAAGGATAAAACCAAATCAGTTGGGTCCGTTAGAAAGAGTGTCCAGTGATTGAGACTAGCTCATTCTAACGGGTCCAACTGAGTTGGTTTTATCCTTCCCTACCCACCTGAAGACGGAGACAGATCCAGTCTCCGAAACATCGTGGTCTNGTCCACACATTCTTAACCTCAGTATCAGGTTGAGGCAACTGAGTAGCTTCACGGGTCGACAATTAATACCTAGCAAGATTCCTCGGTTCCGACTGGTTAGGAGACTGGGTGGACAACAGAGATGATTCAGATGTTGTGGAAGAAAGAAAAATCCCTTGATTCAGCCGGAAATCGAACACCAATTTCTCGGTCATGTAGTCCGTAACTTAATCACTAAGACTAGTCCACATATTACAATATACTTTCCAATTACGGCAAAAAAAATTGCATATTTTTTATTATCCTATTATTATTGTACAAAATTTCCTGCACCTTCATTAAAATATATGAATTTGTGTATGGGTGTATTGATATTAAAATAATATTTATGTGAATATATTAATTTACGCTCAAATATGTAATTAATATTAATGTTATATTTTTCATTGATTACTTTTAACAAGGAATCTCATTTGTCCCTGTATTTAAAATCATACATGTAGAATTATGAACTCCGATATAGAAACTAATGTCCAACTGCATATTTCCTTCACATTCAACACGAATACCTCAAATCGAATATCAAACGTACGTTATTTTTCAAATTAAAATTCTGACTGTACACTAAATTTATACGTGGGACCTCACCGTTCTCTACAAATACATAACTGCACAGTCACATATAAACCGTCTGTGAGGTTCTACACTTTAATTTATGAAGACAATATACCATTACATTTCAAACACTCTTATTACTAGTTACGGTATTTCATGTTTATACGTATTGTTTTAAATTTATTTCAGTTTAATATTTGTCTCGTATCGCATGCTACAATCTTCCAATACTGTGTAACGTTCTGCTTGTCCTATAAGTGGACGCATCGTCTCCTGCTGCCTGTTTACTAGAATGTAACATACGCATTTCATGACTGGTGAATTTCTATTTGCAATACAAATAATCTTATTCTAGTTTCCTGTAACTCCACTTAAAACCCTCTGCAATACATTCATATCCGTTTTTGGGAAGCATATTCTAAACCCCATAACAGAACAGTTGGACTTACCTTGACTGTTTGACTCTTGAGAGGCTTGTCCGGGTCAGGGATGTACTCCAGCGTGATTCCATAGAACTGGCCCTTGTTGATGTACGTGATTCTGTCGTCCTCTCGCCTCTGGCTCGTCGAAATTGGCGTTTCCAGGTGGTACTTGAACCCATATTGCGAGTATCTGGGGCATACAGACATAAGCGCCGTGATTTATGGAGTCGTTTTTATTTTTGTGTACATTATTTTGTTCCAATCTAATTGTGACTCTGATAGGAGATAGGGCAATTAAATATTGCGTGTTGTCTACAACTTTGAAGGTTTCTTATATACAGATCTGCTGTCCTGCTACCATCACCTTCATCTGCTCCCAATATAAAATCATGTGAAGTGGCCAACTCTGATCTTCTAAAGCACACTGTTATTGCCATTGTGATATGAATGTGATAAAGATCATTGCATTTGGATTATAGGATGTTGTAGAAGATGATTAGGAGACAGGCTGTTGGGAGTATATTAGATTTCATTTGAAGACTGCGCCGAACATGAAGATGGAAGTGTTTCACTTAGCTCACACATTATATACAAAATGGTAGGCAACTTTTTGATTCATAAATTAACAGCGACAATACTGTGAATAAGGTACATAAAATGCATGCAATAAAAACAGCTGTTGATACGATAGTGTCTACTTTGTTTTAAATACAGAATATTGTCGTGTAGACTGCATACTTTTGTATATACACGTATTTTATGTTGATAACACACAACAGGATGCATATCATTAAGAATGCTCCGAAGGTTTGTAATATCAGTTCAGATAGGATTTGAAGGAACTGATTCGTCTGGCGGTGAGCTCATTACTAATGTTGATTGAAATTTGTTTCTACTGTAAAACTAATTAATACAAAATGTTATGGTTGAAATTCTTCGCGTTGTAGAATGATGTGTTTCCTCTTATGTCTTTATATATTAGCTGCTGAATAACTTTACCTGTAGAAGTAATTTGGTTATATTAAATGGCAAAGATTGACTACAATTTAATTATTAAATAATATTTATACGACCATAACGTAGAAGTTTCAGTTGAGGTACTTGGATCTGTACGAATATGTTTCCTTCATTTTTCTGCGCAATATTACTTTGAGAAGTTTTGTGCTGTATTCAACGGGGGAGGTAAGCTCGATCGATTATTCCTGTGGTCCAATCAGATGAATTTGGTTTCAACGACTGTCAGACCGATATTTCATTTCCTCTGTTATATAAGCATATATTAATATTTTAACTTCAATCCTACCTCAAATATAGAAACTATTGTCATCTCTATCTATATACGAGAATTCCTGAACACAGCTGAAACTTAATTGTACTCGTAAAATGTAATGACTTAAGAGTAGATAAAATCTGAAAAGTGTTATTAATAAAAGAAATATTAACAATTTTTTTCTCTGCTTAGAAACGTTGCGCGTCGATACATCCGATGTGAAGACGGCGCCCGTTAGGTCCAATCTTCAGTACCCAAAGTCACCAATCCCGTTCTGCCAGATTTTTACAGGCTTGAGGTTTTAATTCAACCAAGACTGCCGGATCACTTTCACAGCCTCAGCCTGACGACAGTTACTGAGGCACATAACCAAGTTTATGTTCAGCTTTGGTCAATTTTCATTTCAGTAAGGGTTTCAGGCGTCCAACATTCCAGTTATTATTATTATTTTCGCTTGATAGAGAACTCGAATTTTTGGATGTGAAGACGAAATGTAACTGTAAATCAGAGACCAATACAGATGGAATGAATTTACAGAGTGAAGGAAGTTCTACTAATGAGCAGACTGAAATAACTGATTGTATCTCTGGTGACGTAGTGACACTTAACTCTCCAGTTGTAGGTCCACATTCCTTCCGAATTCACTGCAGTGATTAGGACTAAAAGTTGTTATTTGTCTGCCTATTAATCTCTTGGAATAACAAGGAAGAGAAACTTGGCCATAAAGTAGCAGTACTTTCTTAGATTCGCACAGACTTCAGATCATAGCATTCGGTTCTGTTGCCACATATAACAAATTACTGAATGTGGCCATAAATTTCCATGTAATCTCTGTCTTGTACACACCGAACTTTCTCGTCATTACTGAGAGACACACGAAGAAGAGCATAGGTGAAGCGGCCGTGGCTCAAAGTGAACTGAGTTCGATCTCAGAAATTTAATTTATATTAAAACGCCGAGCAAGTGCGGCAATATGACAGACGCAAAAGCCAGAGAGGTGGCCTAAGGCCTGACTTGCAGACGGGACACAGTCCTCATTGTGAGGTCACAAATCTCAAAGTCTGAATGAATGAACTGTCCATTCTGTAATGGCTTAATGAAAATTGTTCTATAAATCGGTAATAAGTATCATAAAAAATATTTAATTATGCTGTCAATAATTAATCGCTAATCTTGAAGAAAAATCATGCAAAATAGCCCATAATTTTCCGACTAAAAGTCGTCTATGATGCTTATTCTCGATGCCAGTTTTCATATAAATCAAACCGTTCTTTTAAAAATATTGCAAAAACAGTTAAAACGTGAGCAGGCGCTCACACTGGTTCCTCGTTTGCGGATTTTTCTACGATGAAAATGGAGGCGATACGTTCCTTCGAAACGTCGGTTCACACAAGATCTACGCCGAACCACATCCCAGAAGATGGCATTTTTCATATTAGTAGTTGATTCGTTATTGATAATTTATTTTTTTCATTGGCGCTACAGCCCTCATTTTGGGCCTAGGCCAACCTCCATGAAACTCTTCGTTTCACTTCGGTTTACTAGATCTTACGATCTTACACAATCGGTAGGACTCCTTGGGCCGGTGATCAGCTCAAGGCCTCTACCTGTACACAAACACAGAAAAACGCACACAAACATCCATGCCTTGAGTGGAATTCGAACCCACGATTCCGGCTTCCGAGCGAGCGAAGACAGTGCATGCCTTAGACCGCTCGGCTACCGTGACCGACCGTTATTGATAATATAACATCAGATATTCACATATGGTTCAGACCTTAGTAGAAACAGGGATGAAGTTAGCTTAATTCAGTCACAAAACAACGTAGTGTTGGGTTCTGTAAGGAAAGCGATGCAAATCCTATTCTGAATTTCCCTCGAAGTGACGGAAACACTGACAATATCAGGAAAGCAATGCGAATTCTTTTTTGAATTCCTCTCGAAAACTCGAACGCACTGACAACGAAATCACCATGATTAATTCCTTCCCTGAAAATCCTTGACAGCAGCATGTCCTGTGTTTCCCCAGCGGCACTTAAAAAGAAATTAGTATACAAATGAAAAATAAATAATTTAGAGATGATACTCGCCTTCTTTCTGTATTCGTAAATAACTGTAAGGCATCAGTTCAAAAAGCTAAGGCATCCAAACAAACAGTAATGATTCCAGGATGTGTACTTTTGTCTGCTCAATCATCTCTGTATATGGATTTGAGATACATGAGTTACTGATACAGAAGTGCGGGATCTTAACCACGCCCTCCGTTGGTTAATATACAGCAATTATTCGGGATGTTGTTCTATCTGTGAAGGTGGCCCCGTCTGCTCGTTTGACGGGTTGCAGTCTGTGTGGGATTCGGAGCATCAGGTGCGGAGAATTAGTTCCCACGACTGATGAAGCCACTAATACTCCCATTACATGTTTCTGGCCCTCACATATATCCGAAAGTAGGCGGGCTACGTGGGCTTTTCATGATTATAGGATACATATATTTTACGACTATATGCGAAATATATATAGCATGTACTGCATAGTTGCTGCTAGGTACTAATTAAACTCCAACTTTTTCCCTTTGACGCTACAGACCCAACCTAGGCCTTGCCCTATTTCCATGAACTTCTCCGTTCACTTCGGTTTTTCTAGATCTTACACATTCGGTAGGACTCCTTGGGCGGGTGATCAGCTCGTCGCAAGGCCTCTACCTATAGACAAACACAGAAAAAGGCGCGCACACATACACACAAACGCTAAACATCCATGAACTGTGTGGGATTCGAACCCACGATCCCGACTTCCGAACTGGCGAAAACAGTACATGCCTTAGACCGCTCGGCTACCGTGACCGGCAACTAAATTCCAACTGGAATTAATTACGTGTAATTCACAAGACACAGGAGAAGGTTACATGAGCTCAGACTGTCAGCATGTATCGTCATGTAACAAAGCTTAACTGCGCCACTGTTGAAGTAACCTCACATCCGCTGGTTATTTGCGGTACTGTGAGGATCCCGATTCTTGAAGTGTCAGACAATAGGGTTATAGATGAACTGGAAATATCTGGAAGGAAGAGATCTTGGCCTCATCATGGCATTTCCTAGAAGGGACTATGGAAAACCCACGAAAAGGCTTAAGTCAGGATAGTTAGTGCCTCGTCTGAGATTCGAACGCAGCGCCTGGTGAATAAGATTACACAGAGGTACCGATGCACCAACGCGTTTCGTAGCTTCGCGTGTGTGCGTGCTTGCTCATGTGTTAGTTTATAGCGATATTCTGAACACTGATAAATAATTAAGCGCTTTCTATGTTACCATTCTTCTAAAATTCAGCTCCTTAGGTTTTTAGTTTTGTTAGAATAATAAACATTCCTACATTTTCCTGTCTGTGCCCTCGGTATATCTAAACATCGTCTGTAACCTCCTTAAATAAAAGTATGTGTTTGACTGTCATTCAGAAAGAGTAAGCTTATGAATAATTCCGAACTTTGAAATGACGAGAGCATTCAGATGCTACTTTTACTAAAACACCGAAAATTCGCCATGGAAACCTCATATGTGGAGTATAGACAGTCGCATCATGTGCAACATGAGTAAATCAATAATAAATCTGGAGCGTCTCCTCTGGATTCCAGACACGTTACAATACATTCTCATCTATTGCAAAGTTTTCAATATTTTTCAACTCACGGCGCACCTAACAAAGCTTTAAATTGTGAAGGCAGACCATCAATTTTTGAGGAGAGATTCTATCGTTTAGACGAGTAAGAAGTTAGTTCAATATCTAAAATTCTAACTACTGTTCTTTTAAATAATATTATTCATGTATTTCGGCGAAATTTGTATTCCTCAAAATTTTCTCTCTTCTTTCGACTTTCCCCCAAACTGCAGCGGCGCACCTGAGAACTTTCGCGCCATACCAGTGTG